GTCTTGATATCAGAGCCCATATCTGTCCCCACGTCTAAACCAGTGTCTCCACCAGTGTAAGCTGTATCCGATGGTGAAACATTGCTCAACACGTCAATTAGCTGGCAGCCACCCTCCCCAGTCGTCTCTTTGTCAGTTGATGCTACAGCATCCACCCCAGAGTTATCGTGTGATTCAGACTGCTCATTCATTTCTGATAGGTTGGGTGATACCGACTGCCTCGCCACCTCATAGGATGCATCTAATTCTAACTGTTTGTTTATTTCTGCTTGCTTGAGTGCCTCTAACGTCGCAGATAACACCGCTGCTGTACGCCACTTCCTTTGTTTCTCCTTATCTGCTTGTATAATCTTGCGCATAGCTGTGGGTCGTTTCTTCTTGGCCGTCAGCCGCTCCTTGCCTCTGCGTCGCACAGACGCCGTGGAGTCTAGCGGATTGGCTGTGGCGGTACGTCTACCTTTCTTGTCACTCGCAGCTTCAAGGAGTGGGTTTTTATAGTGTGCTCGACTGTTTGTAGGTGCTTGGGAGCCTAAGTGTGTGGAAATTTTGGCACGGGATGATATCCTGGCTGGACGAATGTGTACCAGATCAAAGAGCGATACCGCATGCCCCTCCCCCATCTTCGGCGCCTTCCTTGGTGCGGGTTTGGGCTTCGTCTGTGCCTGTTTAATGTACTTATTTGCACCCGATGCTTTTAAAGTGTGGGGTGCGCCGGAGGAGTTGCCCTGTGTCAAGCTAGGCCATGCAGGGACTGCTGCAAGAACACATAAAGCGAAAACGATGAGCTTGAGTATAGGTACGTCGATGTTCTAGATCGCAATGCTTATTCTGGGGATTCCAGATTTAACATACATATACAAACTGTAAAGGCAGCCTGCAAAGATAGTCAGGAGCGCGCATGTAGGCAGTTGCGTAGTATATAAATTCAGCCGCGCTCTATGGCAAGAATAGCCGCTCGGTCGAATAAATTCGTCCTTGCCCACAAAGCACTTCTCCCTCTGTAGTCGTGTTCAAGTGCTGTGAAATATCTTGTTGTCATGGAAACTACATCGTTGATCAAACTCGAGATGAGGTGAGTTGCAAACAAACTGCAACACGGAAAGATGTACACTACATAGCGCGAGTTCACAGAGCGGAGTGACAGCATACCTGCAGGCTTGCGCGCCGTTGCTCCGGTATCCGACGATCTCTGTGTCGCACCATTGACACCTTTGACACATTTGATACCATCGTCATTTCGGGCGGGGGCTTTCAATATGCTACTCCATAAGCCATCAGCCCTGCCAGACGCTTTGCTGTCGGGGTTCGTTACCGGCCCTTTGTCTCCGACAATACTTTTAGGAGCACCGCGGTTAATACCACTCGTCTCATCTTTGGCGCAGAATGCATCCTTTCTACTAGCGGCCAGGGCTCTGCTACTGAGTTGCTTACCTCGTTGAGACGCCACGTCATTGTTATTCTTCTTCGCTGAGGTTGAACTCCGCACATGGCCGGAGCGTTGACCCTCTTTTGTGTGTGAGCGCGTACCGTGTATGCTCGCTCCACTTATACGTGTTTCTGTGCGATCTATGCCATGCGTACGACTACCGATACGTTGCGCTTCACGGCCCTTCGCATTGGGCGTGTCTCGCCTTTTGCTGACCGGCTTTGATAGCGGAGGGTTTGATTGGCTTTTACCACTGAGCCCATTGGTGAGTGCCGGTACTATATCCACAGGTTGTTGTGTGTTGTACATAGCGTGTGACCGGGTAGTTGTAGACCATGCAAAACCTGGCTTTGGGGCTGTATGTGTGGAGTTTGTGGTACTAGGCTGAGTATTCGCGAGCTAGACCGGTAAAGATAGCCGTAAAATTCAGACTGTGAGACGTGAATGTATTTGGGGGCCTGACATCCCGAGTATGTACACAGACTTTGCTTCCCGTTGAGAGGTTATCGGGACAACAGTGTATGCGGGCGGGATAATCTGTAACTCTTTGCTAATTCGCCAACGACTTCCACGCGGTTTGTATTGATGTATAGCGTTCTCAGCAACATTGAACGTATGACACAGTGGTGAACGGAATAGAGGATACGACGGCCATGAATCATATATATCCTTATAAAGTGTTACAATCCGCAGGAGCGAAGTACTTCGCAGTGGTGACAGTTGTGTGCGTGCTTAGTTCGTAGCATGTAAACGATAAACAGAGCACATTCATTGCCTACGCACATCGAACGTCAGAAAATGCTCAAAAGAGTTACCATTCGTGTACACTCTCCTGACATACGAAGGAACAAATCTGTCAGAAACGTGAAATTGCAGATAAAATCCAAATTCATTTTGGGTCAGCTATTAAAATTCTGAGTGCCAAAGCGTGTGTGGAAATCTTGTACAAGGGATGCGTGTGTGGAAATCTTGTACAAGGGATATGGCAGTGCACAGTGTGTGCATAACTACAGCACAGAAATGGGACAGGACTCTATATACGAAGTGAAGACCCATATTTGCTGAACATGGCTAGGTTGCTTCGATTTGTACTGCAATTAATACGTGCTGCTGCCAAGTTCAATCCTTTGAACGCAAAGGGTGATAGAACACCATCCACGATACATTCGTTCACGGAAAAGATATGGCAAAGAACCCGCTTTCATATTTACACACAGGCGTGTGAGATGTAATATTTTAAAACACATCCCTAGCTACATATATCATGGACATACATTTCCGACTTTAGTGGCTCTTATAATATGCGAATTTCAAATAAACCCCTCCATCGCGGTGGACGCAATGTAAACTAGTGACAATGTCCCGTAGGTATGTCTTTAAACGGCTATGGTAGAGAACGCTACACTTTATGATCATATTGTGGTTTTAATCAAAAGGAAGAACCTGTAGCCAGAAAATGTATTGCCCATCCATATTTAAAACAAATACAAAATGCGAAAGCAAGCTTTTACAATACGCATATTTTCCTCATCTGTGGAATGCAAGCTTCAAATAAACATACCATTTTTATCTGTAGACTGCGCATTTTGTACTTCAGCAGAGTCGCGCGCCATACTGACTCCTATATTTTAAACCGAGGGGAATGTAGAGAGTGCAACTTGCCTTGGCGTGTACCAGTCCCTTAATCAGAAGTACAAGGTGCGAGATGCAATATGTAATAAAACCGGAGACCGGTTTATGAGGTCAAGGCTGTGATTTGACGACGTCGCGTTAATACGCATTCATTCTGATATGCTCCTGTATATGTTTTTATGCATGTGAATATGTGGTGACTATCAGACTGCCGAGACTCACTGTGCTAACCACGTGTATGTATGTTGTCAGCAGACATGGTTCAAACTTCAATACGACATTATATGTTCTTAGGTCTCTTGGTATTACGTTTATATGTAGCCTCCCCTAAAAAAAGTCAGGAGGCTTTGGGTTATGGGTAAACTTGTTCTGTTTGGAGGCAAGAATTCTTACAAAAAAAGTATTCTAATTTTAGTACCGAACTTAAAACTTTATACAGTACATAAAATAAACACTGTGTTGTGAGTCTGTGGCTGTGACTGTGTGACAGCAGTGTGTGTGTCCTGGGTTTTGGACTTTTGGGTTTTGGCGGCTTTCCAGTTTTGAGTTCCCACCTTCCCAAGTTCCCGCGCAGGAAAACGCCACAGATCTGAAACTTCTCTGCTCAGTGCTCAGAGCCTCAGAGTCACTGCGCTCTCAATGCTCATCAGTAGAGCAAACGCCAAACATTCGTACATAAGTGCCCTGTAAATTTCCATGTAATTACATTATTTCTAAATAATACTAAATTGTAAGTGTACAAAAACTAAACGAGAAATAGAAGAAGCCTGAAACAGTGAAAGGACAAAGGTTGAACAAATGAAAGAGTGAAGCTTGAAGGGCAAATGAAGGCTGAACCCTGGACGCGGCCCCTAGTTGTACAATTCTTTTTTTTAAATATATATGTATAATAATACATAGTTAGAACCCTCAATAACCGGCCTAGAGAAATGTCAGCAGTAGTTCGACTTAGCTACCGAAAGTATATCATATCCATTCAGAACACACAGTCGACAGCCCGCGCTCATGGCAACATCCGAAGCCACTTCAATCGGACATCCTATAACGCACTCGCCCAGGTATCCATAACCAGAAGAACAATGTCTTCATCAGTCAGCAGAGCTACCAATACTGCGGGCAAGCAGAACACGCTATATGGTGAGATAAGACCCTCAGCATTAGTAGACTTGCCAACCTTATCCAAGGCGGTTAGTGAAGAGTTAGGTAGCGCGTACGAAGTGCGGATAGTTGCAAAATGTGAGCATCTCCACCCCACGGGCAGTGTGAAGGAACGTGCAGCATCATACCTGATCACAACGTCGGAACGGTCCGGTATGTTTTCTATTGCTATGTAGTTTACAAATTTAATTGCCCTCTCTCTCTCTATTTACATATATATATATATATATATATGTATGTATGTATATATATACACATATGTATATATATGTATATATGCATAGTATACATACATATATACATATATTTATATATATGTATATATATGTGTGTGTGTGTGTGTGTGTTGTTTGTGTGTTTATATATATATATATATATGTGTGTGTGTCTGTGTCTGTGTCTGTGTCTGTGTCTGTGTCTGTGTTTATTGTGTGTTTCTGTCTGTGTCTGTGTGTCTGTGTCTGTGTTTGTGTGTGTGTGTTTGTGCGCGCGTGTGTGTGTGCTTGGGTGTGTGTGCGTGTGTGCGTGAGTGGGTGGGAGGATGGGTGAGTGGGTATGTGTTATATATGTATCTGTATATTTATATATATATATATATATGTGTGTGTGTGTGTGTGCGTGCGTGTATATATATATATATATATATATATATATATATATATATATATATATATATATAACTATATCTATATATATATATATATATATATATATATAACTATATCTATATATATATACATATATATCTGTTATATATATATATTTTTGTATATATACAGTATAT